CAAATCCCAGTAAGTGAGAAAGTCATTTGAGAAAAGTATGAAGAACTGACCCCTGAAGAACTCTAACATTTAGAGGCCAGAGAAGGAAGAACCTATAAAAGATACTAAGAACAAGTTGCTAGTGCGTCGGGAGGCAAACCAGGAAAGTACACTGTTTAGGAAAATTAATGTGAAAAATATTTCAAGAAGGAAGACAGGTTAACTATAAGAAGTCAAATCAATAGTGCTTTGCAAATTCAAATACTTTTTTATGAAAAGAGTTAAAGTTAAAACAAGCAGAAGAGAACGGAGTGTATTTGCAAACTATAGAAGAAAGGATTAATATTGGGAATATAATATTCAGAAATGAATTAGAAAAATAGAACGAAGTTGTCAAACAAAGCACCACATATGTGAAGATGCGTCTGTACAAGGATAAATATATGCCAACAACTTTTTTTTTAAATTTTTTAAATTTATTTTATGCCAACAACTTTTAAATCAGTCAGTAACTAACTTAAAAGAGATTCAACTTACCAAATCATCTGGAAAATGCAAATTAAGTGACAGTCCATTTCTGTAATTAGCAAAATAGTAAGAGAAAAATTATGTATCGTGTTGGTGAAAGGAAGAAGTAGAAGCTACTCTCACAGCCTGCTGATGGGAATGCAAATCACTACAGTATTCTGCGAGGTTGATCTTACAATAAATCTAATATTTTTAAATGGAGTGATTTCACTTTGGGGAGCTCTCTAAAAGAAATACATGAACACAGGGACACCTGGGGGGCTCAGTTGGTTAAGTGACTGCCTTCGGCTCAGGTCATGACCCCAGAGTCCTGGGATGGAGTCCCACATCGGGATCCCAGCTCTGCAGGGAGTCTGCTTCTCCCTCCACCTTCTTCCCTCTCACGCTCGCTATCTCTCTCTCTCAAATAAAGAAATAAAATCTTAAAAAAAAAGGAATACATATACACAAAGGAAAGTGTTCAAGGGCATTAAAAACAATACAGATAGATACAGCAAAAGATTGGTAACGCCTACATATCCACTGATGGGAAATTAATAAATTTTAACACGCTTGTGGAACCGTTAAAAAGAATGAGTTAGATCTATATGTTCTGACATGCAGTGATCTCTAAAATACATTCATAAGGGATAAAAAGCAAGGTACAAAAAAGTACATATAAAATGACCTCATTTATATAAAATAAAGGGAATAAGAAAGTGGTCCGGTTTCATACTTTTGCATGTGGCTGTCCAATTTTCCCAGTGCCATTTATTGAAGAAAACTGTCTTCTTCCCATTGTCAGTCATTTCTCTTTTGTCAAAGGTAACTAAACTGAAAATGGAGGAAAGACCTAAATGTGAGACCTGAAACCATAAAAATCCTTTAGGAGAGCACAGGCAGTAATTTCTCTTATACTGGCAATAGCAAACTTTTTCTAGGCATGTCCCAGGAGGCAAGGGAAATAAAAGCAAAAATAAGGATGCTTGGGTGGCTCAGTCAGTTAAGAGTCAGCCCTCAGCCCAGGTCATGATCTCAGCATCCTGTGATAGAGTCCTACCATTAGGCTCCTTGCTCAGTTAGGAGCCTGCCTCTCCCTCTGCCTGGCACTCTCCCTGCTTGTGCTCTCTCTCTCTCTCTCTCTGGTAAATAATAAAGAAAATCTTAAAAAAAAAAGCAAAAATAAACTATCGAAATTATATCAAAACAAAAGGTTTCTACACAGTGAACAATCAACAAAGCTAAAATGCAATCTATGAAATGGGAGAAGATATTTGCAAATGACATATCCAATAAAGGGTTAGTATCCAAGACATATAAAGAACTTATATAAATCAACAACCAGAAAACAAACACCTCAATTAAAAAATGGGCATAAGACATGAACAGATATTTCTCCAAAGACATCCAGATGACTAACAAGACACATGAAAAGATACTCAAACATCACTGATCATCAGGGAAATGTGAATCAAAACTAAAATGATCTGTCACTTCACACCTGTCAGAATAGCTAAAATCAAAAACACAAGAAAAGATAGGTGTTGGCAAGGATGTGGAGAAAAAGGAAATGTACGGTTTGGTGGGAATGCAAACTGGTACAGCCACTCTGGAAAACAGTCTAGAGGTCACTCAAAAAATTAAAAAACAAAACTACCCTATGAGCCAGAAATTGCACCACTGGGTACAAAAAATACCCCCAAAATACAAAAACACTAAATCAAAGCTACCCATGCGCCCTTATGTTTATTGCAGCACTATTTACAATAGCCAAACTATGGAAGCAGTCCAAGTGTGCACTGATAGATGAATGGATAAAGAAGTGGTATATTACTCAGCCATAAAAAGAATGGAATTTTGCTATTTACAACAACATGGATGGAGCTAGAGAGTTATAACACTAAGCAAAATAAGTCAGAGAAAGACAAATATCGTAAGATTTCACTCATATATGGGTTTCAAGAAATAAAGCAAATGACCAAAGGGAAAAAAAGAGAGACAAACCAGGAAACAGACTCTTAACTCTAGAGAGTAAACTGATGGTTCCTAGAGGGGAAGTGGTGGGTGGTGGGTGAACTAGGGGATGGGGGACTAAGGAGTGCACTTATGATGATGAAAAAAATAAAATAAAATAAATAAAGGGAGAGAAATCCATGAATGTGTATGTTTTTATGAATGTTCGTAAATGCATTTAAAAAATCACCAGACTAGTTTTAACTCTCTGAGGTGAAGGGTAGGATCAACAGGAAAAAAGCTGATTTTGCTTTTAATTGTTTAGGTCTTATATTTCTTAAATCCATCTGAATGTGTTGATGTCCTGCTTACAGGATTTTTAAGAAAAACATACCTTGTTCTTAAGTGGTGCTCATACAATTGATCTAGAGAATTAATTGTATGCTTTATTAACTCACCCGTCAAGAGTTTAAGTTCCCAAAAAATAGCAACTTAAAAAAAAGAGTTTAACTTCTTGTTGTACATCAGGCAACATATTGGGTATTTGGTATGAAGCCAGGAACGAAACAGGCAGGATTCCTGTCCTTGCAAAGCTTAACACTGTAGCAGATCCAGCCTTCAAACAAGTCCTCTCTGTGTCGCCTCTTAAAACATTCCTTACCTCCCCCAGAAAAGTATCTCAGACCAACTTCCTGCACTCTTCTCTACTTTATGCAGAAATACGAAAACTAAAGTATGGAGATTACATCCACAAGCCACCTCAAAACTACCATCTTCGCTTTTATAACCCACCACAGAGTTTCTGGATGCAGCAGGAATCAAACACCATGTCAGTAAAACAGGTCTCTTGGGCTGCCCTTGAAACCCCCAAACAGTTTCTGGGATGGTTTCTATGGGGAAAAGGCCCCTCCGGTTCTGAACAATGGACGTATTAGCAAAGGCATGCTCTGTGAGTCGCTGACAGCCCCGACTCAGGCAACTGCTAAGGCAAATAGCTTTTAGGCCCCCACACAGAAGTTCTTGCACACACACACCCTGGTTGGATTCTTCATACGACCCTCGCTTAAGGCGCACTAGTCAGGAGAGAACACCGGCCTAGAGGAGGAGTCTTGGAGGCTTTTCCACCTGCTGGAATCTCAACACCAGACTAGGCTTTAACTATAAGTCTGCCCACCCTAGTAGCAGTAAATTGAATTCAGGCTTCTGAGCAGTCTCTGAGGCAAAGTGTTTCTATTTCACTGCAAACCTTATTTTCTCTTCTTTTCCTACACACGCAAATGAAAATTCCCCAGTTTTCAGCTGCTGGGACAGCTGAATACTGCCATCAGAAAAATTAAATGACTGTGTCAACGAAGGAGCTGCTTTTTAGAAATGCCTGTGCATCTCGAGGCAAGGAAAGAAAGTGCTGTTGACAATTTATCTTTGCTACAGGATGAATGGACTTATTTAACACATGCTTTTTTACGGCTGAGAACGACTCTAGCCCAGGGGAGACGGAAAATTCTCAGGGTTTAGAGAAAGGCATCGTGACCACTCACTGAACATCCAGCTCCGAAGTTGCTTCCACGTCCATCAACCCAGGTGACCTTGGGTAAACGACCTGACCTTCCCATGTTCTTTCACATTGCTTTTCTTGCCTCATGCTGTTCGATTTGCTAGAACGGCTTCCTTGATCTTTCCCCCAAGTCTCAAATTCTTAAGAAATGTTTTCCTCGGAAGCTTTTCTTGATTTTCTAAAGCCGAATCAGCTTCTTTCCTCCTCAAATTCCCTTTCTCAATTATCCACATCCCCATTGTACCTCTTACCACATGGTATTACTGTTGCACATCCATCCTCCTATTTATTTCATTTATCACATTATTTTGTGGCCATCTTAGGGTATCAGGCCATATGTTATTACTACTGCTCCTACTAATCATATGAGTAACATTGTTAGGAGTATTGTGAGTGCTTACCTTGTGTCAGGCCCTAAATGAATACATTATCTCTAGCTGTCACAAAAGCCTTATGAAATGGATGTTACTTTTTTTTTTACAGTTGAGTAAAACAAAATCAAGAGAGATTATATAAATGGTTAGTAGTGGCACTAAGAGTCAGAATAACGTCTCTTTTACCTTAAAACCCAAGCTTTTAACCACTACCGAAAATACCACCTATAAATAATAGCAGATAATATTTGCTAAGTGCTTACTAGGTGTCGGGATCTGTATTGTGTGCTCTACCCACATTAGCTAACTTTATACTCAGAAAAACCCTGTGATGTAGGTACTGTGATTGGGATCTCAATTTTTTAAAAAAATTGAAATTGAAGTTCAGGTGGTTAAATGACTTGCCCAAGGTCACAGAACTATGGAGGCTGGATATGAATACAGGCCAGTCTCCCCCAGAGCCCAGGTCCTCCTTATTCACTATTCTATGTCACGACCAGATAGTAAATTTTCTTTAATCTTCATAAACGCTTCCCAGCTTTTCAAGAACAACCCCTCTGGAAACAAAAAAACTGGAGAGGTACCGGTTCCAAATCATGCAAATAAACTCCACCAAGCCCCCCAGCACTCACCTTAGCACGTGTGTGGATCCATTAATGGTTGTGGTTGAACAGGGGACAGTCTGGCCCAAGATGGAGGGTCTTCGGTAGCGCTCATCGTCACAGCAGAGGATAATGAGGAAGGCACGTCTAAAAGACTTATTCAAGAAGGCGTAGAGAAAGGGGTTCAACCCAGAGTTGATGTAGCCAAGCCAGAGGAAAGCGGTCCACACCTGCCCAGGAACGGTGTAGTCTATGAAAGGATCCACGATATTGGTGACAAAGAATGGCGCCCAGCAGAGGCAGAAGCAACCCATGATGATGCACAGGGTCTTGGCTGCTTTGGTCTCTGTCCTCATTCGATGAGTGCTGTGCTGGTCAGCCGGCTGAGGCCTGCCTTCTGAGGAGGCCCCGGCCCGTTGTAACATCTGGATCTGGTGGGCGTGCTCCTTCGCTGTGACGTAGATGCGGTAATAGGCCAGCACCATGAGGAGAAACGGGATGTAGAAGGCCACCACGGAGCAGGTGATGGCGTAGGGCTTGTTGACCATGAAGATACAGTACGTAGAGTTAGAGTTCTGGTTGAACTTCCTTTTTTCTATCTGAGAGTTGGAGGGAGAGAAGACATAAGGAAAGAAGGGAGAATGGGAAGGAAAAAGTGAAGAGAAGCCAGAGGGGAAGGAGGAAAATTGTGAGAAAAGAAAAAAAAGATGAAAAAGCAAAGGAGGGATTGGAAGGGAGAGAGAAAAGGAGGGGAACAGGGAAGGAGAGGAAAAGAAGGGGAAACCACAAGAGGAAAAAAAGGAGGAAAGAGAGAAGAAGGTTTATCAGCCAAGTTCTCTTTTCCTAATAAGCCTATAGCACATAGAACCGCAAAGGTAGAAAGGAATAGGATTGCATCCCGGGGCGCAGAGGGACTGTCTCTGCACATGGGGCTGAAGGCCCCGGGAAAGAGGAGAAATGAGATGGGGACAAAATCATCCTTCAGTTTCTCTACCCAATGGAGAGTGGAGTTTGCATCTCCTCCCTTCCCCGTCTGCCTGCACACAACATATCTGGGAGTAAAAGTCTTTGAACTGTGGCCCCTCTCCTTCAAGACTGTTCTTACATCTCAGCATTTCCTATACAAAATTTAGAATTAGCTTATCAATTTCCATACAGATCTTCAGGAATTCTAATTGGAGATGTGGTAGAATGACTGAGGAACATGGACTTCTTTCCCATGGTAAGCCTTCCAATTCACAAACATGGTGATTCTTCCCTTTACTTAAATCTTTTAAAATGTATTTCAGGGGGCACCTGGGTGGCTCAGTGGGTTAAAGCCTCTGCCTTCGGCTCAGATCATGATCCCAGGGTCCTGGGATGAAGACCCGCATCTGGCTCTCTGCTCCGCAGGGAGCCTGCTTCCTCCTCTCTCTCTCTGCCTACCTGCGATCTCTCTCTGTCAAATAAATAAATAAATAAAATCTTTAAAAAAATGTATTTCAGTAATATCTTACAATTTTTTTGTGTGTAAATGTCTTGCAAATCTTTTGTCAGATTTATTCCTAAGTATATGTCTTGCTATCCTATTACAAATTGTACCACCTTAAAGTCCTTGACCCTAATTGCTTGTTGCTGGTATGTAAAATCTGGTGAAAATTTTTTTGTATGGCAATGTATCCAGCAACTGTATTAAGTTTGTTATTAATATTTCATCTCTAGATTCTTATGAATTTTCTCTATAAGTATTCATGTGATCGACAATAATAAACATTTCAATTCTTCCTTTCCCACCCTAGTATCATTTTTCTTGCATTATTGAACTTGATAAGACCTTTCATGTAATCCTGAATAGAAGAGATAATAGTGGACACCATTTTACATTCTCAGTTTCAGGAGGGGAGTTTCAATATTTTACCATTAAGTATGATACTTGCTGGAAGTTTTTTATGGATGCTTTCTTCTGTTTTTAGTTTAATGGGAATTTTTAAAAATCATGAATAGATACTGAATTTTATTAATGAATTTTTGGCAGTAAAGAGACGATCCTGTGGTATTTCTCTCTTTCTTTTATTAATACAGAGAATTATAGTGATTGTGTTACATTCCTGGAATAAACCTCACTAGTATTAGATATTGTGATACACTGGATCTCTTGTAAAGATTGACAGACTCTTCTCCCTACTATAAACTCTGTCTACTGACAGCTCTGTGTTATCAGCCTTGTCTAGGAAGAGCCCTTGGCTGAAGAGAGCTGTCCAAGGTCAGCCTGCATCCCCTGTGAACACATACATGAGCAAATGCATGAATAACATATATGATACACACATGTTATCTTATTTGTGTTTTATCTAGCATCTTGTCTCATAGCACATTATAAGATTAAAATATACCTTCCTATTGAATTGACATTTTTCTCATAAGGAAATATTTCTCTTTATCTCAAGCAGTATGACTTGCCTTAAATATATTTTATCACTGATAATAGTACAGCTACACCAGCTTTCTTCTGATTAGTGTTTGCAGATTCTATTTTCCATTATTTTGTATCAGCCTTACAGTCACCATGTATCTTGTGGGCCTCTCTGCTAAGCAGCATATATTATGTATTGACTAGTCGATGAAAATATTGTGACCAGAACCTGTAGGAAACTAGCCCTGTATTTCTCCGAGGAGCAGAGTCAGTATTTGCTAATTTGGGACTTGTGGCAACTTTATAGAACCCACTTACTGTGAATGGTGAGAAGCAGCTGTATCAGTATTGTGAACGTATGGGTCGTGCTAGCTTCTCTCCAGGCCAATTCAGTGTGCAGGCGAGTGGAAAGATAGGCAATGCGATCACAGCGTCATGGAGCAAATACTAGGCATGTTCACAGCAAGCAGATGCCCCATTCCCCAGCTGCATGAAGTGAATTGGGGATGCCTCTATCTCACCCTCAAAATGGACAGCAATTCTCTAAAATGATTTCCCTTAGAAATTCTATACCCAAAGGTAAGAGTGTTGTACTTTTTTTAAAAGTTCTGATGCACAAAAAGCTTATGCTTCTAAATGCCTTCTTCATTAGGGAGTAAGTCTAGCACAGTGATTAAGAGCCTGGGACTCTGGAGTGCAGTAGCTAGAGTCACGACCACTCCCCTGCCAATCTGACTTCAGCTCATAACTTAACCTCGCCGATGCTCCTTTACTGAGGGCAATGATAGGATCAACCTCATGACATGGTTGTGAGGCCCAAGTGAGGGTCACAGAAGTGATGATTAAGTGAACATGGACTCGGCCTACAGTAAGTGTTCAGCTTGGCCGGCCATAATTATTACTCTACTGGTCATTGGAAACTTGAATTTCATCTCCCTTGAAAATGGTAAAATGGGAAGTTTGAAAGAAGAAGGATAGGACTCAAGAAAATATTCATACAGTCTCCCTGGTATGCATCCCCTTTTACTTCTCCACTCCTTTGTCCCCAGCATTTCTTTCAGAAGCCCAAGGAACTCTTGTTCTGACATACCACATGCAAATCCTGGCCCAGCCTTGGCTTGGATATCCTTTCCTGGACAAAGAACAAGGCAAGATTAGGGGCTGGGAATGTGGTGGAGAGAAGAACAAGCAGCTCCTACTCTAACTAGGATTTTTGGGGGAAGCCTGCTCTCAATCTGTCATCTCCAATCCCCTTCCTACCTCAACATGGTCCCCACTGCAAAGTGACTGCTTGACAACTTCCTTAGGGATCTATCACTGCCAGTGAACCCCACAGTAACTTTGGATCTTCACTGCAAGTTTGGCACTATCAGCACCGTGTCAGAGCTGGAAGACTCTTGAAGATCATCTGGATAGAGGCTGGCAAACGCCTGGCACGCACATCCCATGCTGCTCTCCTACACTCCTGCAAGACACGCTCCTCCACTGAAGACCAGTGCACCTTCTCACTGCAGTCCTTCAGGGTCAGGGACAGAGCTGGGCTCAAGGTCCAGTTCTCTCAACTCCTGGCCCAGGAGCCTCTCCCCATTCTCTGGAAGCCTCCACCCATGCGACATGTTTTCTGCGGATCACTGGAAGCCATGAAATGGGCTGAAGGCCTCTCGGGGCACCTCACATGCCTCGGGCTCTGTAGTCTGAACGCTAAGCTTTGAGTACGTGTTCCGCTATTTACTGGGCATGTCACTTCACCTCTTTGAGCCAGACTTTTCTCATCTGGATGAGATGAGAGAAGGATGTTGTCAGGATCCTATGTAGAGTCTGAGCATACTTTCTGGCATACAGCAAACATTCCAAAATGTTAGCCTGCATTTTTCAGTTGTTACTGTTATCACTCAGACCACTATCAGAATCTTTCTTGGACTATCCACCCAACCTGATATTGTTTGTTTATTTAGAATCCCAAGCAAATAAAGTTCATCAAGAGAGGAAACTAGCAGGGTCTGCACAGGTACTCACCAGATCAATGATGCCAATATTATTCCAGCCTTGCATTATAGGGAGGAAAGAGATAAACATAGGGATGACCCAGCAGCCTCCCAGCATTAATGCGATGCGCAGAGGGGTCATCTTGTTCCTATAGACCAGAGGCTGGCAGCAGATGGCATAATACCTGGAGAGAGAATAGAAGGTGTGGGTACCATGGGAAAGGAGGAATGAGAGGGAGAAGGAGGGAAGAATGATTCAGGAGAAAGAAGAGTGGAGAAGGAGCAGAGAGGAGAGGGGGTGTACGAAGAGGAAATGCTGGGAAAGAGGAAAGTTGGAGGGGGGACTAAGAAGAAAAATAAGGAAGGAAAAGAAGAGAAAATAATGGGGAGAAGGCAGAGAGAGAGGGAAGTAGAGGAAGGGAAGACGATGCCAGTAAAGGCCAGAGGTAAGAAAGAAGCAATTACATAATGGGATGTGATACTGCCCATGACTTCTGTGGACCTAAGTATCAACCTTAGATCACGGCTGAGAGTCACTACTGGAGTTGGCCCCATATCCCTCTTCTTCTGTCACTGAGAAGCTTGATACACACCTGAGGGCCTGCTTTGTCTCAGGCATGGCTCCAACACTTACCTCCATGCCTGGGGACTTTAGGATCTTCTGTCTAGCCCTCTGGACCGCAGTGTCCAGGCATCTGTGGCCCCCTTTGATAACAAGATGAAGTCTCCCAGGCTTGCCCCTACATCTGAGCACTAAGAACTGGATGTCAGATTTGCCCCCATCCTCTTGATCACCTGGCTATCCTGAGGTGAAGTTCTAAATCAGTGTTCCAGAGACTCCACTCTTCTCCCTTGCATCAGACTCACCTGAGGAGGCCCATTTAAAATGCAGATTCCAAGGATCTCCTGAATCCGAGTCTATTGGAGAGGGAGTCTGCATTTTGACAAGTGGAAGTCATTGCTGCTGTTTGCTAAATATGTCCAGCTCCCCCTTCTGGGCACACGTGCTTCTGACCTCCTTGTAGTTGGATGGGGCCAAATGATTTGTCTGGCCAAGGAGTTATGAACAGAAATGACACGTAATACTTCGGGACTAGGCCATTTAATTGTTTCTCTGATGCCAAGAATGTAAAATTTCAAATACTCCCTGCTTCACCATGTCCTACCTACTGGTAGAGACCACCTCACCCTCATTTATTGGGATGTGCTCTCCCTCATGGGACTCACTGCTTACCAGTCCCTGCTCTGCCAGTGTACTAGCTTCCTTCTTTCCTCCAGAGAGAGATGCAACCTGCTCCACTCAGTGATGTGGTCTCTAACTCTCAGACTGCTCCCTGCATGTTTTTCCAGTCTTGGAGATCACCACCTTCATGCCCAGGACGTTCAGGGAATTTAACAACAGGCAAAATACTCCAGTAGGTCTATCAGCACTTTGTTCTTTGGAAGTTTCAAAGAATAAGTGCAAACAGAGAGCTTGGAGGATAAGTCTATTCTTTAAGATTTTATACCATTTAATGATGAGACACCCCCTTATATCCCTCATTTTATGCAACTGGCTTTAATTTTTCCCACCTCTTCTTTTTTCTTAATTCAAAGCATAACTAACATAACAATGGCTATATTCTTTGAAGAGGTGGTGGTGGGATGACTTGGGAAAGAGGGTGGAATAAGAAAGAGAGCCCCCTCTGTGCCAGAACATGAGAAGTGGGTGCCTCTGAAGTGGAGAGGGGAGAATTATACCCTTCCCTTGAAGGCATCAGGGAGCAGCTGACGGTAACGTGACAGGAGGCTTCCTGTGGCCAGCAACACAGCAGGTGTCCTGACCTGGACCAGAGTACAGGGAACAAGGGACCAAAGATTGGGAGAAAGACTCACTTGGGAACTCATTTTCTCTATCTATAAACCTGACATGGTAGCAAAATATAACTAAAGACAATGCAGTAAAAGAATCATGATTAGCTGGAATTCCCTCCATGATCTTGACTTACAGGAAAGGCAAATCATATCAGATTGACAAACTTTTCTGAATGGCCATATTAATAATCATCAAGGATTTATTATGAACATAGAATTAATCATGAATTTGGAGTACATGAAAATATTTTTTCCCAAATTGTGCTCCCTTCCTCATTTCCCGCTGGAGAGTCTAGCTAAGACATTTAGTTTTATCCATTTAATATCCTACCTCCTTTATTTTGGTAATAGCAATCCAAAGCCTTTGGGAATTATCTTTTCTCTGTTGTTTTCATGTTGTTGGGAGAGCAAATGATGGTGCTCCCAATTTTTCTGGCCATGTAGTGACCCAATCAGACTTTCTCCTGGGATTCTGAATGCCATGTGGAGTGATGCAAAGATGGGGAAGTCAGTGGAGGTCGCTTGATACAGCAGCTTCCTAGTGGGGTTGGGTGGTTGGGCAATCATGCTCTTGCCTTTTTAGGTCTTCTTGCTTTAGCTCTTCTTTCAATTAAGTAAGTCACCAAATATCTTTCCAATAAATTCCTTTTTTTGCTTAAGCTGGTATCCCAGATTGAGTTGTGTCCTCTCTCCCTTTCCTAACAGATATGTTGAAGTTCTAACCCACAGTCCCTTGGAATATGACTTTATTTGTACATAGAGTCTTCACAGAGGTAATACAGTAAAAATAAAGACATTAGTGTTGGCCATGATCCCATATGGCTGATGTCCTTAGAAAAAAGGAAATTTGGACACAGATTCAGATATACTCAGAGATGGAGGATTGGAATGATGCCTCTGCAGGCCAAGGAACACCAAAGACTGCCAGCAAACCACCAAAAGCTAAGAAGAGCCAAGGAAAAAATCCTTCCTCTACAGGTTTCAGGGGGAGCGTGGCTCTGCTGACACCTTGACCTCAGACTTCTAGCTTCTAGAACTATGAGACAACACATTTCCTGTTCCAAGCACCTAACTTGTGGTACTCGTTATGACAACTCCATCTAACTAACAAAGCTGGTTTAAGTTAGTCTCTTTCCAGCAAAATTTTCTGCCTCCATAAAAATGATTTTGAATGTCAGACATTTCCTTCATAGATACTTTGTTCTAGGTAAGATTATCTTTGTTTGATTCAGTGTACTTTCAGATCATAGCTCAAAGTTATAACATCCCTTCATCTACCATCCCAAAGGAAGCAATCAAGGGCTAAGTGAAGAACAGATGTTGCCCTATCTTTGCTGTATGATTTATGATTTTTGAGGCTTGGAACAAAAGTTAAATGAAGACAAGATTTCAGGGATTTTGGTTGGGTCTCCAATGTTACAGAAATGCAAAAGTGCAGAAGACAAGGCAAAATTAAGTATGTTATGGGACAAAAGGTCAGTTTGAGGAAGCAGGACATCTTAGCTGCAAAGAGACTTTAAACTTCCTTATGTGGATACAGATATTTAGAAGGTCATGCTGGGAAGACAACAGAATGTGCAGAAGAAGACTTTAGAATAGATAGTCATATTAGCGCTCAGAACATTTTTGTGAAAGTCCTTCTTGGCCAGAGTGATCGCCTCATTCCTACGGCATGATGAATATCTATCTTGTGCACAATAAAATCTCCTCGTGTTCATAGTCGGGGTGGGGGAGGATGGGCAAAATAGGTGAAGATCAAAGGAGACCAACTTCCAATTGTAAAAAAATAACTCATGGGGATGTAAAGGACAGCATAGTGAATATGGTCAATAACATTGCAATAACATGTATGGTGACCAATGGCAACTAGGCTTATTGTGGTGATCATTCGTAAAAAAGTACTTAAGTGTCAAATCACTGTGTCATACATCTAAGTAATACAATATCGTATGTCAACTATACCTCAATAAAAATAGTTATATTTAATTTTTTTTTTAATGATCTCTCCATGGTCTGCTCATCCAGTGTTCTCACTTTATTTGCATTACCTGAGATTACTAGGAGTTCCTGCCATAGAGAAGTAAATAGTGATGGCAGATTTCCCTTTGAAGTTCAACCTCAAGGGGGAATACCATGGATGTCATACACATTTCACCAGTCTTTTCCCTATTTGACCTAAGCAGTAAGTATGCTGGATAATGGATGCCTGAAAGAAGGTTACTTGGACAGCTCATTCCACAGGGGTTAAGGGGGAGGCATCCTTGGTCTCTTGCACAGACAGTTGTAGAAAGTTACTTTCGCATGCTGTGGGGTGGTTGGGTAAGCCTAAGAAAAGTCCTTTATTTCCTACTTTAAAAATCAGCAATCAGTAAAAGGAAAAAAATAATTTTATGTTATTTATGTTATTTGAATTGGATTGGCTAAGTTGGAAGGGGTAGGTAAGGATGCAAAGGAAAAATACCAAACTGTGTCTTGGTATCTGTTTGACTTGAATCTTCCCCTCTATCATATCCAGCCTGATGCTGTCTAATGACAGACATACTTTGATTTTTAAGTAACACGGAGTAGAAAATATGAGGTTTTTATTTGGAACTCCGATCATAGCAGCCACGTGACTGATGGGTTCAAGATTCTTACCAAGGCTTTGGCATGTGTGAGGCAGCTGCCCTAAGTAAGCCACGGCATATCCTTCTATCTTTCTTGATAACTTTCTAATCTTTGCTTTCTAGCAATGAACTGAGAAAAATAAACATTCTCTTGACGTCTGCATTCAAGAATCTAAATTAAGTAAGTGAAAATAAACATCACTGAATAAAATGATTAATAAAAATTGAGCCCGAGTGTTAACTGACTAATGGAGTTTCCTTAAAAATTCTAACCTTTGTTTACAGTTCAGGAACCAGACAGAAATCAGACTGGTTACCTGTTGTGGCTGTTTTTTCATTTCTATATTTGAATTATATTACCCCTGCAAATAACAAAACTATTTATCCTTTCATGAACTGCTCCAAAACACACATAACACCACCACTAGGCAGAAGTAGCTAAATTTGCAAGCTCTCTGGAGATCAGGCAAAGCGCACTGGCTGAGTTTACTTACTGAGGGCTCTCCTTGGATTATCTCATTTAGTCCCCACAGCGACTCCTGAGACAGGAACTACAAAGGCACCGGTTTTGTAGATGAGGAAACAAACACACAGAAGGCTCAGAATGTGCCCAAGGTGAGCACTGAGCTGGGATCTAGTCCAGGCAGTTTGACTCAAAGGCCAGGACATCAATTTCATCATTATTACTTCACTCTGCCCCCTTCCCGAAGTCCCCAAGGGATGGT